AGGTACAGCATTCACTAGCATTCATCTGCATTATAAGCATAGGCAGGAGTGGGAAGGATTTGAAACCAATCCCCCATGGCTATGGGGGTCCTACTGCATTATGGACCCTAAGAAAGACAAACAATTATGTCCTCGATCAAATTAAAGGGGTCTCCAGTTGCTGATGTTGAAGATCTGAAAGCGTGAAGCTTGACAACTGACTGGAGTTTGGAATGGGAGAAACACGAACCAAGGTAGGTTGGAAATCACAAAACGAAGAGTGGGTGAACGTTCAACAATTCGTGTGAATGAACTGAAGTTGACAGAAACAGGACATTTTTTGCCATACTAACTTCAGAAACAACAATCTTGGAAGAAATGGTGGGGGCCTGAAAGGAAGGCTTGATGTAGCACAAGCAAGTAGGGCCTATATTTCAAAGGCTTTAGGGAACAAAAATAAGTTGTCAGGCTACCAGACACATCCATTATGCAAGTTTATTCACAAACTATCACTGTGGAAGGATTTTAAAAAATGTAAAGTTTTTATTAAGGTCTCCAGGAAGAAACTGATCATTCCAGATGTATCCTCCGGGTTTTCTGGGTGTTCCCCCCCTTCTAAATCCCAGAATCCTCCAAGGATACCCTGAGACACTCTGCAAGGATACTCTGCAAGCTGGATCTGAAGGCCTTAGGAATGGACCTCAGCAGAGGAGAAACCCTGACATCTCAGAGATCAACTTTAGGAATGGACCTCAGCAGAGGGGAAACCCTGACATCTGAGCGATCAACCTGGAGGCAGGCACTGCATCGTGGCCTCTCCCAATTTGAAGAGATCCTTGTCCAGCAGGCCGGGGTGAAGAGGCAATCCCGAAAGCAGCAAAAACAGGGAGCTGGACAGGGGACAGAATGTATTTGTCTTCAGTGTGGAAGGGATTGTCCCTCTTGAATTGGCCTTCTCAGCCACACTAGATGCTGTTCCAAGTCCTCCATACAGAGCACGTTACCCTAGTCTCTCAAGACTGAAGGATGCCTGATCTTGAATCTGACCTTGAGACAGGATTGTGAGGGTTCCAGCCCACAGACCCACACTTAAAGATATCGACATGTCACTCACCTGGACCAAGGCCTATCTCCGAGTTTACATGGCTCTCATGGACATTACTTCCTGTGGTTAATGTACAAAAAAAGGAAGCGGGCGCGCTGTTCCCTGGGAGTTGTAGCATCGCTGCCCTTTATGCTCTCTCTAGGGACCCTTATGAAGAGCTACAATGCACAATTTCCTCATTCTGGTCAGTGGCTTGTAAAATATGACAAATGATAATAAACCAGGCTATTGAGTTATCTCCTGGCCACGGTCTACTTTTCCTGTTAACTGGTGTTATCTCAAAATAGAATCATACAAGCGCACAATGGTATTTTTTGTTTGTTTTGATCTTACTGCAAGATTGTTGATCACCGCTACCTGCCTCCATATCAGGAAGGGGTCTTCCTGAGCAAAGACTTTAAAACTGAAGGGAGTCTGGAGATGCTAG